AGCTCAGGTTCAGTGCTCTATGGTCTGTTGTTACAGATTCGTTCCTTATTATTGCTCATTGTACCAAATGTTTGAGTCAACGGGCAGGTGACAGTCTTTTACCAAACAAACATCATGTCCACTACGACCTGCCCGTTCAGACATTGCTAATCAATCCGAGTGCCCCTCCTACCTGGCACAAAGCCACCTCTGGCATGCCCAGCACTCATTACTGGTGGAAAGGAGTTGGCACAAGGAAGGGATCTATTTGCCTCACCAGATCTAGTTCAGTCTCCTAAATTCAAAGAAGAGGAGACAATAGCAGTGTTATTTACAATAGCTAAGATCTGGAAACAGCCCAAGTGCCTGTCAGTAGCTGAGTGGATAAAAAGCTGTAGGAGATTCACACCGTGGAATACTACGCAGCTGTAAAGAAGAAGGATCCCTTACCCTTTGAGACAGCAGGAAGGGAGAGTATTTTGCTAAGTGAAATAAGACAGTCAGAGAAAGACAAATATCACATGATCTCATTTATATGTGGAATCTAATGAACAAAAGAAACTGATGAACAAAATAGACCCAGAGACATTGAAACATGCAACAGGCTGAGGAATCTCGGAGGGAAAGCAGGGGGGAGAGTTGAACCAAAGAACTTATATGCATATACGCATAGCCCATGGACACAGCAGTGCAGTGGGGAGGCGGTGGGAGTAGGGTGGAGGGGGTCAGTTGGGGGGAGAGAAAGGGGACATCTGTAATGCAACAATAAAGATAAATTTAAAAAACAAAAACGAAGAGAGAATCAAAGGAAAATAACAGTGGAGCGATTTGGATAGATTGCAAAGGGAATCCCCCGGCCTTTTGGTCTGGCATCCACCCTGCTTTGCCCGAACACATCTCGCACCCAGCCTTTCCTCTTAGCTGAGCCCCGGACAGCGTGCTGAGTATAAAGCAAGCCTCTCAAGGAATTCCTCTCTTCTTGTGACTGGCAGAGTGGTAGTTGGCTTCACCCCCTGATCAGTCCATTAATTCGGGGAACAAAGAACCGAAGGGAGTTGAGTTAGACTTCTGAGGTGCCTTTTCTAAAATTAGAGTGACCTGGTGGTTTGTTCTGGGAAGTTAAAACTCGGAGAATGGACAGGGTATCTTTCAACATCGCTGGTCTCTAGATTAAATTTTGGCTGGAAATTAAAGGGAATTTTTAAATTGCTTTTGACTGCACTGAGAGATTTTCCTTTCTATAGCCTAAAGTTGAAATATGTGCTGCTATAAATAAACATCAAACCAACAATAACTTTGAAAGATGATAATTTATTGATGTTTTTCCTCAAAAACATTTTTTTTGTTTACAGAATCTCTGCTAAATTTTAGAGCCTACACCTTGTGCCTTTTCTTTTACATCCCCCCCACCAGAATTAGAAGGCAGTACTGTTTTTGCAAAATATTCAGAAAATGAAAAATTTAGGTTCATATTGATTTCATGAAAATATGAAGATCAATCATTCTTTTTCTTAATGCTTTCTGCATATTCATTTATATCAGCTTGGAAGTGTGAGAAATTATTCCATTCGGAATACATTTTTCTCTGCCAAAGTTTATTGTGAAATGTTCCTTTTCCACGGTGAAAAATGCTGCCCGTCAGTCACAAACATATTTGCAAGATTATTAGTGACACATGAAATAAATCGAGCCATCTGTGCTCCCTCGCACTTTTCTTCTCTTATTCTGTGTTCTCTCTGGTCTCTGTGTACGTGTGTATATGTTTGCGGGTCAGTATGCACACTCACACTGATACACTGTATCCTTCAGCACACTGAACCATGTGTACGTGTGTGAATGTTTGTGGGTCAGTATGCACACTCACACCGATACACTGTATCCTTCAGCACACTGAACTATGTGTACGTGTGTGAATGTTTGTGGGTCAGTATGCACACTCACACCGATACACTGTATCCTTCACACTGAACTATGTGTATGTGTGTATATGTTTGCGGGTCAGTATGCACACTCACACCGATACACTGTATCCTTCACACTGAACCATGTGTACGTGTGTGAATGTTTGTGGGTCAGTATGCACACTCACACCGATACACTGTGTTCTTCAGCACACTTTGAACTACGCGTACATGATTTTATGTATTTATTTATTTATAGCTTCTCACTTCAATTGCCGTGGCGTCACGTGGGTTTAATTCAGGGGTTACTAGCANACTCACACCGATACACTGTGTTCTTCAGCACACTTTGAACTACGCGTACATGATTTTATGTATTTATTTATAGCTTCACACTTCAATTGCCGTGGCGTCACGTGGGTTTAATTCAGGGGTTACTAGCACTCAGGCAGTCTTCTTGGAAGGATGTTGCCTCTCCCCACCACACCCCAATCTCTTGCTGAAACCCATCCCCTAGAGGCCGTGACCACCGTGTTCCTGGGTCTCTGCGTTTCTCCCGCCCTCCTTCATCTCCTTTGTGAATTTTCCTCCCGCCTGTAGCACAGGAGGCAGCACATGCTCTGCCGTTAGCCACGCCTGGGTTCAAATCCCGCTTCTACCCTCACGGTGACGTTAGCAAGCTGCGGTTATCTTTCTGAGCCTCCGTTTTCTCCTCTGTCAAGGGACCCACTGCTGTCCTGTCTGAGAGGCTCCCGACAGGAGGTTCTCAGATCCACCTTCAGGTCTGATCATTTGCCGGAAGGACCCCATAACTGACTGGGAGCCGTGATGCTCACGGTTACGGTTTCTTATAGGGAAAGGGTACAGATTAAAATCGACCGATGAAAGCACACAGGCCAGGGTCCGGGAAAGTACCAAATGCAAAGGTCCTGTTATCCTGTCCTTGTGGGGTCAGGACGTGTTGTTCTCCTGGCATCACCGTGTGACCATATCCATGTGGCACTGGCCGCTGGGGAAGCTCACCAGAGACTCCGCATTCAGAATTTGTGTTGGGTCCTAATTTGGTTTCAGTCCCAGAAAAGATACCATAGATTTTTTTTCTTACAGTTCATGAGAGTGAAATTCAGCTAAGTCAAATACCTAAACTTCCAAGACAGTATCTGAATAAAAAAGAGAGCAGGTTCTGAAACTATGCACAAGAATCTATTTTTCCAAACAGCTTAATTTTAAATCAGCGATCCATATTGATGCATCATAATAATGAACTTNCAAAAAGAGAGAGAGCAGGTTCTGAAACTATGCGCAAGAATCTATTTTTCCAAACAGCTTAATTTTAAATCAGCGATCCATATTGATGCATCATAATAATGAACTTTTATTGAGTTTATAATGTGTCACGGGCATTGCCCTCCTGCTTTATGTGAATTAATTCCTTTAGTCACTTGAAGGAAACAATGAGATGGGTACTAAGCGATTTCCATTTTGTAGATTCAAGACTGAGACTTAGGAAAGGGGGGTAACTCACCCCAAAGCCTTACCACCAGGAAGTGCTTGAGGCAGGGCCTGTGGGACCGTCCGCGTGCCCAGCCCTGGGCCCCACCCCGATGCTGCCCTGTGGGGTCCCCACGCCCCACTCGGCATGACGACTGCAGGGCTGAGGGTGTATGCAGGCCACTGAGGGAGAGGCGGGGAATTCTTGAGTATTTTTTTATTTTGCAGATTTATGTTATCAGATTTCCCCAAAAGGTCAGAAAATAATAAGGTACGTGAGAAAAATAATGTGATTTCTTACAGGAAAGCTACGGGGATGCAAAACCGAGGGCATTTTAAGCTCCAGTTGCGGTCGTGGCTGCAAATGCGGTTGAGATGAATGACTGGCTCCTGTCGTCTTTGGGAATCGTCAGTCATGGGCTTGGGTATAAAGGTCAGGTTCATCTTCATAGCAAATGAATATTTATTTTTTAAAAATTTGCTTTTTTGGCATCCTTGGGTTGATTACAATGCTGTTTGCAAAAATAAATCAGCGAAGACTTGGCACATCGCAGGCCCTGTTTTCTAGACACTGAAAGAAATGATGGCAGCGTTCCCATTAGCTCACTAACTAATGAGACGGCGTTGGCTACTTTCACAGGCCTGGGTCCTGGCAAGAACAGCTCTTTCCTTCACAATTAGGTATTTAATCTTAAAATTATTACCATATGCTGCAGAGTGAGCGATATATTTACATGTGCAAACCCTGAATGAACAGGCTCTGTTTTCTCTTGGCATAGAGGGGGCTGTAAATGCAGACCCTTGAATCACTAATGGGAGAAAGCAGGAGGATTAAGCTGACCCGTGGGGGAAGTTTGCTCCCTGGTCTCCTGCCGAAATTGTGAGCAGTAGCTCAGTGCCTGTGCTACTTGGTCAGCAGACGACATAAATGACAAATATCTGTGCCAAACACGTAAAATCAACTCATTGAACGTTTATTGAGTGCCCTGTTTGTTCTAACTACTATTCTAGACCCCGGGAGAGCAGAGGCGACCATAAAATAGTCTTCCTCGCATGTAGCCTCTACTCGAGTGGGGAGCTGGGTCTGTGAATAATAAACTATATTGCAGAGCCTAAAGCTCAGTACCAACTATTATAGTGGACTGTAGATGATCCCTGCAGTGATTAGAGAAGATTCAAGTTTTTCATGATCTTATATTTGAATCTATAAATTCAAACGCTTTACGCAGCGTGCTTACTGTCACTTCAGCCTGTGGCTCCTGTTTCATGTGGCTAAGGTCCTGCCTTGTTGACTAGCACTGAGAAGCTGTGAGAAAGGGGCATCGGAAGGAGCAGGGCGAGACAGCGTCAAGGTGGGAAAGTAGAATGAATTCTTTACAGGAAAATCAAGATAACGATTTCAGTTACGTAGTTCAATTTTCCAGGGTTTCGTTTTTTTCGAAGCCAGAGATTTGGTAGCAGGATTTAAGTCAGCTCCTGCCGGGTCATTCGTTGAAGGTGAATGTTTCTCTAAGAGTTTCCTGCATTTCTCTGAAGGGCAGGGAAGGTGGCGATAATTTGGATAACTATTCCTGGGCTTCTATATGCGGATGCACTCTGAGGGATCTTGAAGCTGCGTATTTCGGAAAGATGGGTTCGGAGGTGGGGTGGCGACGGAGCTACGCAGACTCAGTTTCTGCCTGTAGGGGCCCGTTTTGGGAGATCCTGGGCAACTCGATCAAACCGTGTGAGATAAGGCAAAGCGTCCTGTTCTCTGCAATTGTAATATTACTGTGATTCCATCCTGATTCATATTTAATGGGAACAGACTGTGTCCCCTAGACACCAGAACACGTCTTTCTTTGGGCTTGTTTTTCACGAGAGCCGTTGCTGTTTTGTACCCGACGTTTGAATCTGCGGACGGGCTGGTGGCCTGTTCCTGAAGTGACCCTAAAAGGCGCACGGGGCCAGTGTTTACGGTACATTTTTATTAATTGTCTTTCTTTGAGCTCATACCTGGGAGTTACCTGAGGCGGCAGCTTGGGTCGGAAAGGCTGTGGCTTCGCCTCCCGTGTCTGAGTCTCTGGTTTCGTGGGGGAAGCGCGCAGGCGGCCGTGCGCTTGGGGACATTCGGGGGGTAGAGTTTCCAGCTGCCCGGGCTCCGCCGGGTGCAGAAATGGAAACGTCGCTTGCCTTGGCCTGTGCATTGCGGGGGTGAGGGATCTGCTGAGGAGCCTGTGGAACAAAATCTGAATAAGCCTCCATTTAGAATCAGTATGATATGCACACGTGTGTTGCACATATGTGCGTGAGCGAGTGTATGTATATTTTAATACATAACAGATTTAATGGGTAAGAAGGCCTTACAGTGGCCACACGTTTGATATTAAGGAAGGGCGTTTTTACGGTGGTTATCTGCGTCCTTTCTTTCCGTTGCCGAGGAGTTAAAGGCAGCCTTGCCCTGCTGGAAGCATCGAGGAATAGTGAGCGTCTAGCTGGTGAGAGTTCTGACCGAAAGTTAAACCTAATACCCATGGCCCCAAAGTCACATTTATGAGACGGGAGGTCCTAGTGCCACTGAGAGACGTTATCTCACTGACAACCTTGACTTATCACTTGCCGTTTATTTAGCCCCTCTTAACGCGGATTCCTAGGGATGATCAATATTGTTAAACCCTCTTTAAAATAAATATCCGTAGGGCTTTAACCAAGGGATGGCTTCTGTCCTGTTATTTCGTGAATTCTCGCATTTCTCTTCAGCGCGGGACTCGTTTCGATGGTAGGTTGTAGCGAATGAGAATTACAATTGGGCAGGTTATTAGCTTAACCCCAGCTGGAGCCACCCTCCTCTTCCCCAAGGACGTGGCGCTCGGAGCGGCCTGAGTCCCTCCGACCGTCGGGGGGTGGAAGGGGCAGGAGGCAACGCGGGCTCCAGGGCCACCGCCTGCCCCGGGTGAAAGCTGTGCCGCGGGCCACAGCCGGCTCCGGGAGGCGCAGGGACGGGAGGTGTGGGTCACGGGGTGGCCTTCAGTTAGCTGCTGTCACCGCGAGTCCACAGGCCAGGTCCTCCAGGAACCGAGGCAAGAGCGTGACTTCCAGTTTGGAAACGCTGCCTCCGGGAGGCGGCAGGAACTGGAGGTGGGTGCAGCTGAGACGACGCGCCAGCAGGTAGACGGGGTTTCTCGCAGAGTCGTCAGAAAGGGGCTCGCGTCGAACATTTTAAATATCAGGAACGCGTACTGTTTAGAACCATGTGGACTCGTCAGAATACGTAGAGGGGTGTCCCCCTGCGAACGGCCCCTTTCACGGTGACATCTCAGACGTCACCTTGGCTCCGGGCCCAAGAGGCAGGAAGAAAACCTCCCTGAGCGAAATTAAAAAGTCACAGCAACAGAATGATTAAAGAAACCGTCTGTTCTAAGTCAGATATTGTTTAAAACCCTGAGATGTCTATATCTAGATGAATCTTTAAATGCCTACATATTAAGAAATATCACATAGAATTCTTTTTAAGTACAATCTCAGATATGTCTTCACAACGAGGATGGTGGTTTTAAAAAGCTTAGTGCATGGATCTGCCGCTTTCCCCAGTGACTTAATTTTTCTTTCCCTTTTCTTGCATATACCACTGATTCTCCTCTCAGTAAGGGCTCCTGCCCATCTAATTTCTCTTTGAAATGATTTGTTTCTTTCCTTGCCCACCTTACTTCACTACCGTAAAGACCTCTATTAATTCAAGTTAAAATACTAGGCACAAAATGATTAATTGGTTTAGCCCTTAGAGCGTTAATATTCTGTCACCTGATGTAGTCCCTCTGGCTGGGTCTGTGGAATTGGTTCAGCAGGGAAGCCTCTTTGGTCATTTGACACGTTTGGCATCGAATAGAGTTTCCTCTCCGTGGTGTGTGTATTTCTTGGGATTTGTTTCTAAAGCGTATTTATTGTCCGTCTCTGATACACAGCTGAGCTTAGGTGCTGCTGGGTTTTGGTGGAGAAGGCAGAAGCCCACAGGGAGGAAAGATCAGGGCAGTGACCAGACTCTAGGAGCTGGTTGTGAATTCGGGCCTGGAGCTGGAGAAGCACCTGCTGAGAAGGGCGAGCGGACGTCTCTCTCCTTTCTCTGCAGGCCCTCGAGTCTTTCCAATAGCCTTTGTTAGGTGTTTTAAAAGGGGCCATTTGATAATATTTGCAATCATGATCCATCCTCCCTCCCTTTCTTTTAAGATTTATAAATTGATTTTTAGAGAGAGAGGAAGGGAGAGGGAGAGGGAGAGAGAGAAACATCGATCGCTGCCCCCTGCGCGCCCCCTGAAAGGGATCGAGCCTGCAACCTGGGCATGGCCCCCGCCGGGAATCGAACTGGCAGCCGCTCTGTGCCCGGGATGACACCCAACCAACAGAGCCACACCGGCCAGGGCTCATGACTCTTTTTCAAAAACGGTATAATTAAGGTTTTTGTAAAAAATGATGTTTTACTATATAACTGCTTTGAAGATTTTTTAATATATAACTGCTTTGAAGATTTTTTTTGAAGGCACAATAAAAATAGATTAAAAAAAATTTTTTTTTACTGTGCCTTCTGTGATTAGTCACAAGTAGAGTGAACCTGTTTTCTTGTTCTAGCCAATGTGTATCTGAACAGGTAGACACACCTCAAATATTTTTTGCCAAGAGGTTTTCAGGTNCCCCGGGAATCGAACTGGCAGCCACTCTGTGCCCGGGATGACACCCAACCAACAGAGCCACACCGGCCAGGGCTCATGACTCTTTTTCAAAAACGGTATAATTAAGGTTTTTGTAAAAAATGATGTTTTACTATATAACTGCTTTGAAGATTTTTTAATATATAACTGCTTTGAAGATTTTTTTTGAAGGCACAATAAAAATAGATTAAAAAAAATTTTTTTTTACTGTGCCTTCTGTGATTAGTCACAAGTAGAGTGAACCTGTTTTCTTGTTCTAGCCAATGTGTATCTGAACAGGTAGACACACCTCAAATATTTTTTGCCAAGAGGTTTTCAGGTATGAAAGTGTGAGCCCTAGTGAATCGCTAAGTGTTTTTATACTGACATAAGCAGCCTTATATTTATAGAGAAATTGATACTCGAGGGATCCAGAGCACCTTAGAAATGTTTCCTCCTGACAATAAGAATAGACGGGAGTCTCTCCGATGCAAGAACCAGGGCTGATCTAAGGTTTCTTTGCCTTGCATCCCATTTGCTGGGCGGCTCTGCTCAGGAAAGTTCCCTGGGCGCTTTCTCAGGCTTCCAGGGGGAACCTTCAGTGGTCTCGGGACAAAGGAACTTAGTGACTTNCTGATCCCATTTGCTGGACAGCTCTGCTCAGGAAAGTTCCCTGGGCGCTTTCTCAGGCTCCCAGGGGGAACCTTCAGTGGTCTCGGGACAAAGGAACTTAGTGACTTAGGAGAAAAAAGCATGGATTTAGTAAAAACGCTGACAAAACATAAATAAAGTCACAGGCTAGCCTCTCTGCCTTTGTTTTTTAAGTGAAGATGCCTAAAAATGCTTAAACCATTAAAATAAATAAAAGCTCCCCCCGCCCTCCCTTTGTAAAATGCTGAGCGTCTCTCTTCCTTCCATTGTTTTCCAGAAGCTCCAAGTCAGCACTCGCAGGTGCTCATTTCTCTCCCCCCGGATCTGCTCCCTCAGCTTTCAGGGGGGTTTCCGGGTGGGAGGCCCCGTAACTTAGGCCACCTGAGCGGGTCCTGTGCTTTCCAGTTCACCCAGTTCTGATGTCTCGAGGGACGTCCCTGGCCAGCCCCTGTGGGCGTGCTCAGGGGTAAAACTCTACCGATATGCTTTCGAGAGGCTGTGGCTCATATTTGGCACAAATGTGGTTGAACCGAAAATGTATACTTCCTAGGCTTGCACCAGTCATTAGGCCGTGATTCGGTTCCACACCGAGTCATCCGTAAAACGGAGACGGAGCTACTGAAACGCACCGTGGAAGGTGCACACGTGGGGCAAAATCGCTCCGGGAGGACCGGCACCTGCTTCCACCTCGTGCCGCTAGCCTGCCTGTCCCTCTGTGCAGCGGCCCGCCTGCTGGAGCTCTGCAGTCTCTCCTTCACGACCTGTGACTGGGGTCTTATTTTTTATGCCGTTGTCCTACCGGGCTGCACTGTGGGTCTCTTCTCAGTACTACGCAAAATATACCCATTCTCTCTTTAGCAATGGGAAGTTTATGGGTTAGTCAGTTTTTGTAAAAATTGATAACTACGTATTTTTATTTTCAAAGTCCTAATGGGTTCTTTTTCATGGGTACTTGCTATTGTTTAATTTTTGACTGTTTTAAATTTTTTATGCTTCATGGTTTATTCCTTCTTTTAAACTATATTTTTGAACCATTTTAGGTTATATTATTTTTTTTTCTGGGTGAAGACTTCTCCCAGTTTTTAAAATTTGACATCCTTCTTGCCACTATCCTTTTAAAATGCATTTTGGAATTTTTGATTGCTTATGTTATCTTGTGTGGGAAGTTTTAATTGCAATCCGTATTAGTTACCTGTTGCTGCTGTAACAAATGACCACAAACTTAGTGACTTAAACCAACTCAGACTTCTTACCTTACAGTCCTGGATGTCGGAAGTCTGACATATGTTTTGCTGGGCTACACTCGAGGTGTCTGCAGGGCTGCATTCCTTCTGGAGGCTCGATGAAAGGATTAGTGTCCTTACATTTTCAAGCCCGAGGCCGTCTACATCGTTGGCTTGTGGTCCCTCCCATCTTCAAAAGCAGCAGTGGCCCTATGAGTCTTTATGTCACTGCATCATTCTGAGACTGACTCGTCTTCTGCCTCTAACTTCTATATTTTTTAGAAATAGATTTTTATTGATTTTTTTAGAGAGGAAGGGAGAGGGAGAGAGAGAAAGATGGATCAGCTGCCTCCTGCACGCCCCCTGCTGAGGATCAAGCCCTCATCCTGGGCATGTGCCCTGACTGGGAATGGAACCGGTGAC